GTCAATTAACGCCAATTATATTATCAAAACAATAAAAGTTATTACACATACCTGAAACATGTAAATATCACACATGCCGGGTTTAAATTGCACCCATCTCAATACACGGTAATTGACAACACCTGAAAATGCACCAACAGTCGTCTGCAGACATCGATGACAGGTGTCTGTGACGTCACACAGTCTTAAGGCAATCAGTGTATCGGGTTGTGTATACGCCTCGGGTAATTATCTACACAGGACATGTATATTGGCTTGTTTATTTGGCTAATTGGGGTTAACTTATAGACACAATAGAAAGGAATATCGGTCATATTTTAAAGCGCTATGATAATTTTAAGCGCATCGGGATTTCTTGTTCTGAAATTTTAGCGCATCGGTGCCGATGGCTAAAAGCGCCTGGGGAATTCCCTGCATTCACGAATTCGAAAACCTAGCTAAACGCCGTTTTCCGGTACTTTCTGTACATAGCTCTGGGGAATTCACCTAATGGAATGTAATAGCGAACTCGACGTTTTCGCCCTTTTTAAAAATAGAATTGAAATGAAACAGTTATTTCTTTATAAGAAAATAATTGAATATTATTGTATGAATAATTCCATACAAAAAAATAAACTAAATACACAAGTTTACGCAGAAAATAACCTTATTTATTAGGAAGTGGCTAGCCGTACGGGCCCGTACGGCTAGCCAAAAGTTCTAGCCGTACGTGAGTCATGTACGACTAGCCAGCACACACTGTATTGTCTAGCCGTACGGCACTTTTCAAAATTATATGGAAGGCGATAATACATATGTTATTTTATGACTTTAAGCGAGGATTTTAACCAAGAAATTGTCTTCGTGTATTTACTTTTAAGAGATTAATCACCTTGTTGGCTACGTTAAAAAAGTACAAATATCAATCTTTATCATCTCAAGACGTCGAGAAAAAATAGCGTTATAGGTCGCAGTTAAATAACATCAAATGAAATGATTTACAAAATTTTGATAATAATCCTTTTTTTGTTTCATTAAGTTTAATTTTCGACACCTTTAAAATGAAAAAAAAGAGAAAATAATTGTTGTTGGGCTGTGATATTTGCGTCAATTACCGACGGTATAGAAGTTTGTCCATCATTAAGGAAAGTTTGTATGTTCCATAAAATGCATTCTAAAATTCTAAATATTGTCAGTCCCTGTATAGCCTTAGTATAGGCTTGAATTTAGGCTAATTGATTGTGCTTTTATGTTGGATATTTATCTACTGTATTTGAAAATTATACAATTATTTTTGCTTTTCACCGTTTTTATCCCCCGCCGAAAAATTTCGGCGGAGGATATAGAAATAGTCTCCGTCCGTCCGTCCGACCTTCCGTCCGACATTTTTGTCCGGAGCATATCTCTAAAAGTATTTGAGGTATCAACTTGAAACTTCATAGGTGGATAGACCTCATTGAGGAGGAGTGCAGTGCACAAGAATGATAACTCTACCTTGCATGATTTTTGAGTTATTGCCCTTTGTTATTTTTCAAAATTGATTTTTGTCCAGAGCATAACTCCAAAAGCTTATGAGATATTAACATGAAACTTCATAGGTGCATAGATGTCACTCAGGAGGTGTGCAGTGCACAAGAATGATAACTCTACCTTTCATAATTTTTGAGTTATTGCCCTTTGTTATTTTTCATACCTAATTTTTCACCTGAGTGGAGCATAACTCAAAAAGTGTTTGAGATATCAACATGAAATGTCATAGGTGGATAGATCTTATTGAGGAGGAATGTTGTGTGCAAGAATGATATAACTCTTCCCTAATACAATTTTTGAGTTATTGCCCTTTGTTTTTTTTTATGTATTTTGTCCAGAGCTTATCTCAAAAAGTATTTGAGGTATCAACTTGAAACTTCAAAGGTGGATGGATCTCATTGAGGAGGAGTGCAGTGCTTAAGAATGATAACTCTACCCTGCATTATTTTTGAGTTATTGCCCTTTGTTATTTTTCAAAATTAATTTTTGTCCAGAGCATAACTCAAAAAGCCTTTGAGATATCAAAATGAAACTTCATAGGTGCATAGATCTCACTCAGGAGGTGTGCACTGCACAAGAATGATAACTCTACCTTTTATAATTTTTGAGTTATTGCCCTTTGTTCTTTTTCATACTTAATTTTTCAATTCAATTTTTTTCTCAAAAAGTATTTGAGGTATCAACTTGAAACTTCATAGGTGGATAGATTTTACTAAGGAGGGATGCAGCACACAAGAATGATAACCTACCCTGCATTATTTTTCATTAATTGCCCTTTGTTATTTTCAGCCATCAGTATTCACATAGGTTTCAAATCTGTAATCATTATAGCCATCAGTTTTCATTACCAAAAGACCTCTTAAAATGGAATTATTCCGCTACTACATATACATTCTTCCAATGAGCAAACACATTCGGCGGGGGATGGCCATGTTGACATGGCTCTTGTTTGGTTATTTTTTTTCAATGTTCTTTTTATTTATTTATTCCACTCCAATCATTATTTATTCGATCCATGCGCTTAATTAACAAAAATTCATCCTTTATACAAATAAAACAACAAATCATAATCATGAGGCACAAAATTACATATGCATGTTCAACTTCTATATAATTTTGAAAAGTGCCGTACGGCTAGACAATACAGTGAGTCCTGGCTAGTCGTACGTGACTCACGTACGGCTAGGACTTTTGGCTAGCCGTACGAGCCCGTACGGCTAGCCACTTCCTATTTATTATGGTAGATTCCACTACGTCTGTTTAAATTTTATTGATTTTCATTATAAACAATTTATTTTTTCAAAAATTTGCAATAGATATTAAAGGAATATTGATAATTTTCAAAAACATCAATTTTTTCAACCTTAAACGGTATAATAATGATAGAAAAATAGAAATATCATGTAACTGTGTTATGTACTTCATTTGGTGTAATTCCCCAGAGCTAAATCCGCAACGTACCGGAAAAAGGTGTTTAGCTAGGTTTTCGAAAAGGTCAATTTTAAACAAACATGCCATAATTTTTAGACTCATTTCCGGGACACTTTTCATTTGGAAGTGAGGCATTGGTCAGCAAACATTTAAAAAAAAATTTACATAGCACTCTACATTTTACATACAAACCTATATTACAGGTATTTACAACTTGCAAATTTATTGACACCATGAACAAAAGACAGAATGTCAATAATTTTTAACAGTTTTTCTATCTTTTTTAAGTATTTAGGCGTCGTAAATTCAATTTATCACAGACTTGATTAAAGCTATGTTAATTAAGGACAATAAGCCATGTCGTTTGCCTGAAACATTCCCTAAACCTTGTAGATTTCATCACCTCATAATTAACGTAATTTTCACGGTGTTTGACCACTAATTACTGCCTGCAGGCAGATTAAATTTATACTGGCCAGTTGTTAATCACAGTGTATGACATCTTCGCTCAGGAAGCCAGAGGGGGTAAACAATTAATCTTTTAATTGATCAAAACTATTGCCGATAATTGTTTGTTGGAAGGCGCAAATAGATGTACCAATCAAAGGATTAGTGTCACCATTGCATTGCTGTAAGGGGATAATTGTTCGTTATTAGTGTTCTAGACTAGTTTATAAAAACTTGACAATAAAATTATATAAAAATGTAAAGTTTCTTTCTTTAGGGAATGTTTCAGGCAAACGACATGGCTTATTGTCCTTATAATCAAGTCTGTGATAGATTGAATTTACGACGCCTAAATACTTAAAAAAGATAGAAAAACTGTTAAAAATTATTGACATTCTGTCTTTTGTTCATGGTGTCAATTTTAGATTTTTTTTTACCAGAACATTAATTATCTGGGGATACCTCCGGGACAGACACCTTATTTCCGGGACTCTCCCGGACATCAGGGACATTATGGCATGTATGTTTTAAAACAAAAATTAAATTACATGTATGAATCTCCTTAATCAGGCTGGTGAAAATGCCTGATCAGACTTACGGACATAAAAAATCATATTTCTAGAAAAAAAATAAAGAGATTTCTTTAAACTTTATTTGTTTATTGAACATAATGTATAACATAAACAGAAAGAATAGTATTTGGTGAATGTCAGACATAATCCCCTTCGGACAAAATCCCCTCCACTTACCCGGACAAAATCCCCTTCATTGGTGGACATAATCCCCTTCATTTTTTTGCAAGGCTGGACAAAATCCCCTTCACTACCCAGACAAAATCCCCTTGTTTCATAGGTTTCTAATGTATTATTATGCTCCATACAAATTGATGAATACTGTATTATTATACTCCCTAAAAATTGATGAATAATGAACTTTTGTTTTGTTTTTTTTTATAATTATGCATCAATAGTTAACCTTTATTTAGTTTAGAAGTTTTCATTAAAATTATGGTAAATTATCAACTGCATAACACATATTTGATTAGGCAATTTATTTAATTGTTTTAAATTGATTAGTATGAAAAACATTTTTATTAGCCAATAATTGTTTCATTGATTGTATAAGTTGATAATTCTAATTGATATATACTATCCATTGTTACAATTTCTATTGATGAAAGAATGATAATTTAATCAAACCAAGATCACTGCACTACTTGATTGATTGTTATGAATGCTTTAACAAAGCAATTTTAATGTGATTTTAATGTTGCTAATTGAATGTGCTTTTCTGCTGAAATATTTTCTACTTATTTATACATTAAGATATTTACTACACAGCATAATGCAGTATGTCACTCTCATACCCACTTTATAAACCGAAAATTCCTCCGAGGGGGATTTTGTCCTAGGTAGCAATTTTATGAAGGGGATTTTGTCCACTTCAAAATTTCACACATGAAGGGGATTACGTCCACCCATGAAGGGGATTATGTCCGGATATACAAAAATACATGAAGGGGATTTTGTCCGAAGGGGATTATGTCCGTACACCGTATTTGGTAGCTGTCACTTTTGTGAGAACCTTATGTTCTTGGGCATGCTATTGATGTCACAGACAGCATTATTATGCTAGTATATTTTCTACTTTCAGGTAAAGCATTAGAGGAATTAGCAAAGGAGAAACCCCAAATGAAAACTGTTGAAACACATACAACAGGCTTCATAAAAACTCTAGAAAGTGTTGAAGCTGGTCTTATGAAACAGATTCAGTACCTGACTCAAGTTTCTACAGGTACAAGACAAGAAATGTTTCACATGGAGTATTACAAACAAGAAAAATTCATAAACTCCTTTATAAACCATGTGATGATTATTTTTAAAACTGTGAAATTTTTACTCCTGTCAGGCTGCTAAAATTATATATAAAAATGTTGTTACTTAAGGCTAGCTACCTGTACACCACCTGCCACTCGTCTGGTTGCACCATAAAATTTTTTTACTGGATGTGTCCGGCATAAAATATCAGACTACTAAAATTATTCACCCTGTTAGACTGATGCAAAAGTGCAGCTGAATAAATGAACATAGAAATGTTTTGCCTGTTGTGTCAAATTACATGCACTAAAATATTTCAACTTTCATGTTGAACTTTTCATGTGTTTCACTTTTCTTGGATTATTTAACATTTTAAATTAATTAAAATGAAAAGGTCTTTTCTGACTGGACTTTAATGACCTGTTTTTTAGCTCACCTGTCACAAAGTGACAGGGTGAGCTTTTGTGATCGCTTTTCGTCCGGCGTCTGTCCGTCGTCCGTCCGTAAACTTTTGCTTTAAATGACATCTCCTCATAAACCACGAAGCCAATTTCATCCAAACTTCACAGGAATGTTCCTTTGGTGGTCACCTTTAAAAATTGTTCAAAGAATTTAATTCCATGCAGAACTCTGGTTGCCATGGCAACCGAAAGAAAAAACTTAAATATCTTCTTTTAAAGAACCCAAAGAGCTAGAGCTTAGATATTTGGCATGAAACATCTTCTAATGAGTGTCTACCAAGTTTGTTCAAATAAAAGCCCTTGGGTCAAAATTGGCCCCGCCCCAGGGGGTCATTGATTTTCCCTATATGCATATAGTAAAAACTTAAAAAATCTTCTTTTAAAGAACCCAAAGAGCTAGAGCTTAGATATTTGGCATGAAACATCTTCTAATGGGTGTCTACCAAGTTTGTTCAAATAAAAGCCCTGGGGTCAAAATTAGCCCCGCCCCAGGGGGTCATTGATTTTCCCTATATGCATATAGTTAAAACTTATAAAATCTTCTTTTAAAGAACCCAAAGAGCTAGAGCTAAGATATTTAGCATGAAACATCTTCTAGTGAGTGTCTACCAAGTTTGTTCAAATAAAAGCCCTTGGGTCAAAATTGGCCCCGCACCATGGGGGTCATTGATTTTCCCTATATGCATATAGTAAAAACTTAAAAAACCTTCTTTTAAAGAACTCAAAGAACTAGAGCTAAGATATTTAGCATGAAACATGTTCTAATGGGTGTCTACTAAGTTTGTTCAAATAAAAGCCCTGGGGTCAAAATTGGCCCCGCCCCGGGGGTCATTGATTTTCCTTATATGTGTATAGCAAAAACTTAAAAAACCTTCTTTGAAAAAATCCCAAATAGCTAGAGTTTAGATATTAAGCATGAAACATCTTCTAGTGAGTGTCTACAAAGTTTGTTCAAATTAAAGCCCTGGGGTCAAAATTGGCCCCGCCCCGGGGGTCATTGATTTCCTTATATGTGTATAGCAAAAACTTTAAAAATCTTCTTTGAAAAAACCCAAATAGCTAGAGTTTAGATATTAAGCATGAAACAACTTCTAATAAGTGTCTACAAAGTTTGTTCAAATAAAAGCCCTGGGGTCAAAACTGGCCCCACCCCAGGGGTGTCATTGTTTTTAACTATATGTGTATAGTAAAAACTTAAAAAATCTTCTTTTAAAAAACCCAATGAGCTAGAGCTTAGATGTTTAGCATGAAACATCTTCTTATGGGTTTCTACCAAGTTTGTTCAAATAAAAGCCCTTGGGTTAAAATTAACTCTGCCGGGGGGAGGGGGGAGAAGGTCATTGTTTTTCCTTATATGTGTATAGCAAAAACTTAACATCATGAAACATCTAACATCTTCTAATGGGTGTCTTAATTCCAAGTTTGTTCAAATAAAAACCCTGGGGTTTAAACTAGCTCCGCTTCGGGGGCCTATATACAGGTGAGCGACCTCAGGGCCATTATGGCCCTCTTGTTTCTATATTCCACTGTTACAATTTAGAGTTAAATCATTTTTTTTTTTTTCATGTGTTATTTAGGGTTTTGTATTATTTAATATTCAATTATAAGTATTTGTGTTTAATAGGTCAGCCACATGAGGGTTCCTGCTACGCTGCACAGAAAGATTTGTTGATGGCATATCACCGTAAAGCTCATGTTCAAAGCCGTCTCGAGGAGTTAGAAAAAATTCACTCTGAACAAAGACCTAAACATCTGCAGCTTTCTAAAAGTTATTCACTACCTCCAATGGCACATGGTGCCCCTGGTTCAACAGGAAATCAATGATATATTCATAGGATATGAATGTTTCAGACTGTTAGACTTTTGAGATCAGTTTTTGAATAAAAGGTCAAAAGTGATCTTTGATATAATTGAAATACTGACGGCAAAAAGGGAATATACATTATGGAAGTTCATGATATAAGGTGTTTTCAGCATTGTGATCGTGAAAAGAACATCCTGTGTTTTAATGTTCCATTGCTATGCCCTCTTTGTGACAAGGATTTGACTAAATCGAGGCTTAGGATCCCTCCGTATATAATTGAGACGCCATTTATCATGGCAGAACATTCATCGTGTTGTCTGGTTATAAAACCAACTGTTGGACACTTTCTATCAGACTTTACAGATAGCTCGAATCTTCATATCGGATTGACAGATTCAGACGGAAAGGTGCATGAGTTTGATGAAAGAGGTATAACAGTTGGGGACAGATCTTGGACACATTGTTTATGTGTAAAAATACTAGATGATAATAACCAGCTTGAGGAAGACTGGGACACCAATCTTGTAAAGTTTATTAATGACAGACTGTGGAAGAAAGAGTTCTATCAGGAGAACTCTCATAATTGTTACGATTTTGTTGTACGTTTTCTACAACATTTAGGATTAGACAGGCATTTTTCATGTCTTGTTGATAGGTCAATATTTTGTGAGAAGATGATAGTGCCTGTGACACATAGAGCAGGGAAATATATTAGTCTATACAGACAAATACAAAAATCTGGTCTTGTTATACAGAAAGTGGGGTGTCCAGGATAAAAAAAATAAACTGCTTATCAAAAAGTGAATTATGAATTCTAAAAAGGAAACCCCTTTCAACTTTAATAGACAATTGTAAATATCACTGTGTAAATGACTATTTGTACTGTTTATAAATTGATACAATTTTACTGCAAATACTGCCACAGTTATCATATCAAATAAAGGCTTAAAGTTTATTTAGCTTTTATCTTTCTACGACATATTTATTGTGCTAGCAGCTAACATGTAATTTCATTGCTGTTTACAATTTACTGTAGGTTTGTAACAAAAATTTCTTTCAATTTGGATCATGATGCTTATAAATATTTCATATACAGCTAATTATTCATATATGGCTCGGGATTTTATCTCTATAAAGAAGAAAATAACCTGTGTAAAATAACCAGGTAAACAATGCTCAGGCTGATCTTTTTCCTTAAAATTTTCATAAAATGAGGGTATTGTGTACTGGTCTGAGACCATCAACCGGACACTTTTGGAACATTTTTCCGTACAGATTTCATAATTTTTAACCTAGAGACCACAAAATTTGACACAGTTCAGCTAGGTTCTTCTCCTAGCTAACAAACTAGTTTGTTTATTTCTGATTGTATTGACACTTATATCTGAGGCTCGACAAGGAGGGTATCAAAATTACCTAAATTGTCTACACTACAGTACCATGTGTCCGGACAGATATGTACATGATGTGATTTAATTCAGATAAAAGCTTGGGTGTTTTGATTTTTTATTTGTAACATGATATACAATATGTCAGCAACAAATTCTGAAGTTTTGGATATTCTATTATTCACTCTGCAAATGATTATAGCTGGTATATGAGGTCAGGCATTGCTTTCTTGACCCCCGAATTTCAACGTCAACATTCTTGAAATAGACATTAAAATATTACCATTTACGGAGGTTGAAATAAACTTATTTACTTAATTTTAAAAGAAACATGCACTTATTGTTGATAAAAAAGTGACTGACAACCACCGAACAAAGAAAATACTAAATTAAGCATTTTCGGGGCCGTCCGGGTTTGGTGGTTGTCCGGTTTTGGTGGTCCCCAACCAGTAGTATTATAAATTTATGATAGATATATTTGACTGGTAATATGATCTTGTTGTTTGTTAGTATTCTGTATAACCATTTGTAATTGGACATATAACCTGTCAAAAATCTTAATAGTCAAGCAGCTGGTATTATGTATGATTTATTCAACTGTGCATTCATTTATCATTTTCATTTTTAGCTTGTCTGTTTTGAAGAAAAAATGGAGTTATTATGATCGCTGTAGGGTCATTGTCATACAAAAACTTTAATGTAGCCCATTATTCAAACATTTTAAAAGATACGAGCACCAAACTCGGAACACTTCCTTATCAGGGCAAAGTGTAGCTGTAAGCTAAAGGGCAATAAGCCTGAAAGCTACATTTTTGGAGTTTTGTCCCTTCTTAATCTAGAATTTTGTAAAAAAATGCCTATTTAATAAGTAGAATAATTTTGATACATGTACTATGAAAGATATTAACATAAAACTTGAAATACTTCTTCATAATGACAAGGCACAGTTGTAAGACAAGGAACATTATTCTGAAAGCTAAACTTTTGGAGTAATGTCCCTTGTTAACTTACAATTTGTAATGTTTCCTAAACTTTAAAATCAACATGAAACTTGTAATAGTTGATTATTATGACATTGCACAGTTGTAAGATCAGGGTCATTATCCTTAAAGCAAAACTTTTACGAGTCATATCCCTTTTTAACTTCTTGATAAATTTGGTTACTGATAATCATTGCCCTCAATAGATCAACATTTACATGGCATGTGGGTCTCATTTATCCCAACACATCAATGTGAACCTCCGTGACATAGATGTTGCCCAAATTCTTTCTCTTTTCCCATTTGTCCTTAAAACTGAGCCAAGCTAAACTTCACAAAATAAATTGATGATGTATCAGGTTATTGGAATATTTTGATATCTTCAAGACGAGACAATACACATCATCCAGACTATATATAGAGGATATTGAATAAGTGTAGGTTAATTGTTTTATTCAAAGAGTTCAATAAATTTAGTATTAAATCTACACAAATATAATATTCTATTTATCACATATTCGTAATAAGAACAGTTTAAACAAATTAGTAATTTTTCATTGACACACCTATATTGTAAAGCTAACAGAGCACTTAAACACTGTTTGAATATAACGCAAATGATGTCGCGTTAAATTGTTATTACGCTAGTGTTATATCGTTTTTGTATTTTTTGATCGCAAGATCAGTAAATCCACGGTCTAACACAAAATTTCCTTACAGACCTAACAACGCAAAGTAGTTCTCACTCAAAACTGCTTAAAAACCAGCAATTTAAAAGAAAGAATAATTTTTAATGTAGGCATTTAACGAATTACAGTGCATTAAAAGTTTAGATTAGTCAATAGAAATATGAGGTTACAATCACAAATTTCGCGGATGAATATCTTTTTTTATACGCCCGTTTGAAAAACGGGACGTATTATGGGAACGCCCCTGGCGGGCGGGCGGCGTCCAATTTTGTCCGGAGCATATCTCCTACATGTATGGAGGGATTTTAATGAAACTTCATATAAATGTTCACCACTATGAGGAGCAGTGTCGCGCACATGAACCAGGTCTCTAGGTCAAAGGTCAAGGTCACACTTAGAGCTCATTGAAAAATGCTTGTCCGGAGCAAAACTTCCACATGTATAGAGGGATTTCAATATTACTTGGCACAAATGTTCACCATTGTGAGGTGGAGTGTCGCGTGCAAGATTCAGGTCCTTGCGGCCAAGGTCAAGGTCACAGATAGAGGTCAAAGTTCAGATAAAAATATGAAGATGTGTATATGGACCATTTAGTCATCATTTATTGAGGGATTGTAACACAAATGGTCATTATCAAGACTATGGCTGTGATACATATAATTTAGGTCAATATATACAAGGTCAAGGTCACTAAAGATGATGAAATATCCAGATTTTGTAAATAGAATTTAATCAAAGGGAGACAACAAAGTTATTACTTTGTTCATAAATGACTTACACAATTACTCCCCTTGATCTATTTTCTAAAAATAGAATTTAATCAAAGGGCATGAAATAATCCTCTTTCTTGGACTTGAGTATGTTGTAAAGAATGTAACATTTATTTACACATGTTTCATTCATTGGTCAAGATACTTAACTGTGATAACTATGGTGTTGTGTAGACTTGGTATTTGTTCATAAAGATCATACAGTAATTACCTTATCAAATGTAAATACTTTCTCATAGAAATTTAATTATATTTTAATTTTCAAGTAAATATCAGTTCAGCTCATTCAAAGATTAAGAATTGTAATGAAATGTATTTCCCTAGAATAAAATCTTAAATCAGAATTTTTTAGTTATTAAATTACATGTACTTTTTATACGCCCGTTTAAAAAAAGATAAAAATATGAAGATGTGTATAGGGACGATTTAATCATCATTTATTGAGGGATTGTAACACAAATGGTCATTATAATGACTACGGCTGTGACACATGTACTTTTAGGTCAATATATGCAAGGTCAAGGTCACTAAAGATGGTGAAATATCCAGATTTTGTCTGGAGCATATCTCCTACATGTATGGAAGAATTTTTATAATACTTTATGGAAATGCTCACCACCATGATATGTATTGCTCCATGCATGATCCAGGTCTCCAGGTCAAAGGTCAAGGTCACACTTAGAGCTCATTGAAAAACGCTTGTCCGGAGCAAAACTTCTACATTCATAGGGGGTTTTCAATATAACTTTGCACAAATGTTCACCATTGTGAGGCTGAGTGTCGCATGCAAAATTCAGATCCCTGCGACCAAAGTCAAGGTTACACATAGAGGTCAAAGTTCAGATAAAAATTTGAAGATGGTTATAGGGACCATTTAGTCATCATTTATTGATGGATTGTAGCACAAATGGTAACTATCATGACTACAGGTGTTACACATTTAATTTAGGTTAATATTTGCAAGGTCAAGGTCACTGGAGATGATTAAATATCCAGATGTTGTCCGGAGCATATTTTCTACATGCATGGAGGAATTTTAATGTTACTTTTATAGAATTGTTCACCACCATGAGACGTAGTGCCCTGCACATAAACCAAGTCTCTAGGTCAAAGGTGAAGGTCACAGTTAGAGCTCATAGAAAAACACTTGTCTGGAGCAAAACTTCTACATGCATAGAGGGATTTCAATATAATTTGGCACAAATGTTCATCATTGTGAGGCTGAGTGCCGTGCATAAAATTCAGGTCCCTGTGACCAAGGTCAAGGTCACACATTCTGTGCATATCTTCCCTATTGATTTGTTTTAAGGTTCATTTAACAACACAGTGCCAAGAATAAAAACTTGCTTGCTAGATAACACTTATCCATAATGCCCCCATCTCCATCTAAAGCTTTTTTGTAAACGGGCGTATTTTGTGACTATGGCACCCTTGTTACCCAATGAAAAATGTTCGGCTTTTTCGGTAAAGCTTAATCAATGAAAATGCTATTTTTAGCTATGTTGATTACCGAATACTCCAGAGCGTTGCACACAAATAAATCTGACTGTCGAGTAGTGGAATATATACATGCCCGACTGTTTCGGCGAGAAGATTTTCGCTAAATTATTTTCATCAGTGTTAAACAACAGGTTTATCGTGAACAAAATACCTCGAAATTAATAAGGATTACAAACACGAAATGGAAATTCTCAAATTAGAATTACAATTTATTTGTTTTTATTCAAGCTACATATGTATTACTTCACCGTGGTGCAGAGGTAGCGCACTCGTTTAGGGTGTGAGAGGCATAATGTTCAAATCCTAGTCGAGGCAACTTTTTTTTGTGAAGTGTCTTTTTTAAGGAAGTAGCCACGATATGCAAGGATAAAGTGTGGCTGTCATAAACAAGAGGGCCCTTGGGCCCTGGGTCGCTCACCTGAGGTATGGGTGAATGCCTGTATTTAGAGTTTGTGAAGGCAAACATTCTAGTTTCAATTAAACTGGGTAAAAGGTGATCTCAGTTTTACAAAGATTTCCCAAAGCTCTGATCGGGTGACTTAGTTTCTGAACCTATTTAACTTAGTTTGAAATCTGCACTAGTTTTTGTTGACATAATATGTTGACAAATGGTTAAATGCGTCAATAACATCATAAAAATCTATGTCACAATATTTTGTGACCAATGTCACTGTGTACAAGTGTATGACAATGACAAAGACTACAAGTAAATCAACATTTTTTTTTTATTATTTATACGAAGACTTGAAATTACAGTGTTAGGTTGAATACAGTCTGAGTGACAAAGATATCTGAAAGAGAAATCTGTAAAATGGTGAAATTTTTAAGAAGAGCTGGTAAGTAAAGCAATGGCTGTTTTTTTGGTTAGCACCATATTTTATTGTGTAGAAATTCTTTCTGTACAACAGTAGATAATTTTGTGATCTGACCAGTAAGTTTCTACTGTACCCACAGTGGCATCAATATTTGTTATTATCAAGTCTAATGCTGATAGATTATCAGTTGTAGGTTCATTAAGATGTAATTTACAGTTAAGCTTATCATACAAATACTGCAAAACACCCCTATGACAATTTAAAACATCAATATTAAAATCACCCAGAATAACTAAAGGTTTATGAGGTACCAAATGTGGAAAGAGTTTCTCTGTCAGCATAGTGCGAAAAGCAGAATCTGACATTTTTGGTGATTTATACAATATTACAACTTGCATTTCACTTAATTCTCTTGCAACATTCAGAAGAACAAATTCAAAATTCTGGGAGCTAAAGCGGTCTGCAGATTTTATTAATACATCAGCTTTGACATAAATAAGTAACCCATGTGGAGGTCTTTCAGATGTTGATGCAGTACACTGGTCATTGCGTATTAAATGGTATCCCTGTATCTGATAAGAAGTATCATTATCATTTTCATGTAATCTAGTTTCTGCCAATCCAATAATATCACAAGACAACAATCCTTGATCATGTTTCACATCAATGAAATGCTTGTTTAATGACCTACAATTGTTGAATGCGATTTTAAAATCCATTTTTGAAAATAAATGTATAGATTCCAAGGGAACATAACACAATTCTAGAGAAGCATCTTTAAGCAATCTCTCCATTTCTGTTTTAACTTTTTCATCAACTTGTAAAGCCTGCTCATTAAAATTGAGAATTTGAAGCTTTTCTAAAGACCGTACTCTACTTAATGCAACGTAATGAAAGTGAGGAACTTTTCGTGTTTTTCTTTGGGATAAGTCAATCACGAAACTATCAAGTGTTGTTCCTTGTGCTCTATGAACTGATCTCCCAGCAGAAGGTTGTAATGGAAACTGGATCCTTTCAAAAGTTTTTTTGTTATATGTAAAGGTCCTTGTGATATCAAATGTTGGTGTCCAATTTTCATTTATTTGTTCATGATAAAAGCCTCGACATTTTAATCTAGTTCCACAACCAGCTTTCAAATCCACAAATTGAACCCATATGATACTAGGACGTTGTGTTTCCTTCAGTTTATACTCTATGAACTTTACAACACATGACGCACCATTTGCAAGGCCATCTTCAGTATTTGTATTGACAGTTAAATCATACAACATCCCTATAACAATATCCAATGAACAATGAAGATTAGCAGTTCTGTTTGGATCAGTGGGCAATCTTTTGATAGCCTCTTCTTGTTTATCCTTTGATAATTTTGGTGAAACAACAGAATCATGACAAAGAATGGACACTTTTTGATTGTTTGAACTGTTTAGCAGTGTATCATTGAAAATATGCATGTAATAGTTTTCAGCAAATAGATGTGGGGAGTTTACTTGATAATTCTTAGCACTGGATTCAACTTCACAACCTTTAAGAACCATTTTATCTTCTGTTGTCAGTGAGTTAATTCTCAGCCTGTTTAATAAGTCTGCAAATGGTAAATCATCCTTTTGTCTCATTACTTCTGATAACTCGTATATAAGAAACAGTTCTTTCCATAAGTTCATGGACAAAGATGCAGCATCACGACTTAAATCATTAAATATCCAATCACCATTTACAGGTTTTAACTGGAATAAATCTCCCACTGCGATAATGCTTACACCTCCAAATGGTTTGCGAGTGCCTTTTAATTCTTGCAGTCTCTGATTTATGAAGCTCATCATAGTATTACTAACCATTGAAATTTCATCAATTATGACAACAGATAAATCTCGATATTTGGATCTGAATGTGTTCAAGCTGTCACATGTTAATGTTTGATCAGACTGTTTGTACTTCTGCTTAAATGCGGACGAAATAGTAGAGCCATTTATATTGAAAGCCGCTTTTCCAGTATATGCACACAAGAGCACCCTTACATCATCAGAGTTTTCTCCTTCTTTCAAATTAAGCATTCTATATAGTGTTTGATACAATGCTCTTATAACAACACTTTTACCAACACCAGCACCACCAGAAAGAAATGTATATAAAGGTGCATCTTTTGTTTTTATCCAGTGAACAACATGATTGTAAAACTCTTTCTGTTTTGAGTTTAACGAACGCAGAAGAGCTCTGTATTCTTCATCTGATAAAATATTTTCATTAGAACTTATTTGTGCAGATGAAATGGAACAACCAATTTCTATGCCAATGTCATATTCTCTTTGTTCACTTACTCTATCTGGATTGAAATAGATAAATGTTTCTGACTCTACTGGTTCTTCTTCAGCAGTTTCTGCTTCTTCTTGCTGAGTTCCAGGAGCAATTTCATCATATGCATTGTATTCTTCTTCAGCCATATTTCTTGCTAATTCTAACTCATCAACATGATGTTCATAACATGCACATTTTTCATTTACAGCATTTTGGACTGATTCATACTTTTCTTTGTGTGTTGCAAAGTGTCCAAGTAAATCTCTCTCTTCATTTCTCCAGGGATAAAAGAGAAGTAGTTTTTCTCTATAATAGTTTTCTTCATCTGTTTTACGATTAAATCTTACATACCTTATGATTTTTGAATTACGGCGTCTTCTGATTTTTATACCACTTTTCAGTACGCAAATGTTTTGGCAATCATCAAAATATTCATCTCCTGACATTTCATCATGTTTTTCATCATCATTTTGTTCTGAATTACTTATATCTTCCTTATCATCTGGGTAAATCACTTCTAACTGTGACACATAATCAGCTAAGCAATAGTTATCTAAAGCCTTTGGACGTTTTGAATATCTTTTTATGATGTTATCTGACATGATATCAGTTGAGTCTGCAGGCAACTCATCAAGAGCAGACTTTGACTTTAACAATTGTACTCTTTGGTTTGGTACAGAAGTATTTATAAATACAACGTCTCTTGTACTTCTGGTCAAGGGCATTTGCAAAACTAGATAGACTGCTTCCTGTGCACTCACTTCAACACTGTTTGAAAACACATTTCCAATGTGTCTTACTTGCCTTTTTATATCTAGGTTGCCATTTCTTGCTTCCTTTGCAGCAGCATACATAAGATTACTCATACCACGTTGGGATTTACTTATATATGAAACAATATACATGGCACAAGCATATGGATCCAAGACAAATTGTATGTCAGTATTTGCTTTCCATGCTTTCAATACTACATCATTGTATAAATTTACACGTATCTCATTTGGATTTCTTTTCAAAAACACCTTGGGAGAGTTTAATGAACTTCTAATGCATTTGATATAATCATCCTCATTCATCTGTGCAATATCTGACAAAAATTTCTCAAAAGACATATTGTATCCATGTTTCTGATCATTCATTTTTTTCTGGATTTTTGCATACTGTTTGAGATATTTATCCTTGTCATTTTCAAGAGGAAATAACACCATTGTTTTTTGCAGAGGTGGTAATGGATAACCAAATCGGCATATTCGATCTTGTTTTTTTCTACACGTTCTTGAATGTTTGTGGATTTGGATGTCTACCAATGCCCCAACAAATTCATTGTTAATTGAACATTTTAAGTACTGGTCCACATATGCTGCTATCTCTTCAATTGAGTCTACATTTAATTTTGGAGCATTTTCAACCCACACAATCATATGAATATGCGGAGATCCACGTTGTTGGAATTCAACTCTATAAAAATAATCTGTCACTTTACCTAATGGATTATGATCACTTTTAAGAACAGTATTTATAAACTCTTGAACTCTATGGTCAAAAAACCTTGAACAAGTAACTGGATCTGACTGAATCATTTTTATCTTTTGCTCCCAAGTTAGGTTTTCTATTTGTTCATCGCTGTACTTATCTTTTTGATTTAGATTTGCAAGGATTTTAAGAAGATCTGTCCATCTGGTATCAGCAGAAGACAAGGACATAAACCAAGTTGGTATACCTAACTGTCTTAGCATTGCATAAACATCTTTCTTTCTGGATTCTAAGTAAGCTGGACTGTTTCTCAGCTGTTTGAACAAATAGTAACCTTGATCATTCTTTACAATTGTATCCATGCATTCCCCATTTCTTGCCTGGGCAGCAGTTAATTTGTTTGTACCAGTCTGAATTCTTCTAACAGCTAAATTTGACTTGTCATTTAATTGCTTCATCTGTATTTTTTTTAACTTAAAAAATATGTTAGGCACACTGTTTGCTGCACGTCTATCTTGACTGCGAAGTTCCCACTTAGCAATGTCACTATAATTAACTGGTACTTTTCTGTGTTCATTATCAATTCGCCTTTGACCGCAAAATATGCTAGGGAAACACAGATACTCTGAATCTTTATCTTGAAAAATACTTAGTGGTCGCTGACCCTCACCAGGTGCAAATGTAAAAGTAGCATGTCTGTTTTCAATATCTGCATCATCTAAAAGAGTGTCAATATTTGCAACATTTTCATTAATAACTTCTTCAGCATCAGAGTCATACAAATCTTCTACCGCTGAATGAGAACTTTTATTTTCAGCATTTTTTACTTTTGCACAGCCAATAACTTCACCAACACAGTCTTTAAAGTCAACAGTGCCCAGTGCTTTACATAGCTTAATATTTTCCTCAAAATATTTGTGCAATGCATGTGAGGAATTATCACTGGAACAACGAGAATTATTCAATGCATCTATATTGTTATCAGTGTCACACTCTGGCACAATTTCAGATGTTGCTTTTGACTCAAAAAATTCATTTATGACTTCATTACTGTTTTCTTTAACATCCTTTATCCACTGTTCATCAATGTCAATATTTGCATTTTTATAAAGATTGCTTTTGTTCATTAACCAATGTAAAGCAATAAGTACTCGAAGTGGCCAAACATTTTCAGAAAATGCACATGACTGAAAAGACATCTTTCTTTTTTTAATTTCACAGCTAGAGTGTTAACAACTGGTTGGATATCAACTGGAACATTCACAACATTCCCTTTTATAGATAACTGACGCCCCCTTGGAAGTTCTCTAATTTGCATAAATGGAATACGTAATGCTATTAAGCGTTCTTCAAGAGGAAACAGTTCCAATTCTTTTGGTTTTGTTGGCCATTCCATTCCATTCAAAACTGACAATTTAGGTAATGTCCCCTTTTTAATATTATGCTTACATGTAACACATATCCATTCTTTTTCAGCTACTGACTTTAGACCAGTTATGTACTTATTTTTGTCTTTACAAGTAAAAGTAAGGACTTCTGATACAGATTCCTTAAACCATGTCTGGTGGCATGAACTACAAACATAGATGGGACCTTCTTGTATGTTTTGATGAAATTTCGCAATACACTCTTCTATATCATTACCACTTTTTTTTCGTTTTGCAGTTACCTTTTCTGCTTCTGAAAATAATGGATTTTTACGTTTTTCAGATTTTCTTTTACAATCTAGTATTTTTTCTTTGCTTTTGTTTCTTTCATCTAATCTCCGCTGTTGCTTAGCAACTCTTTCTTTTTCTAATGTATATGGATTTAATCTTGCCTTTCGTTTTGATTTATTCTGTACATCAGTTTCTTTTTGTTTAAATGCTTCATCTGTCCGTGCCTTTCGTTTGGACTTATTTTGAACCTGTATTTCTTTTTGTTTAAATGCTTCATCTGACCGTGCCTTTTTTTTGGACTTATTTTGAACCTGTATTTCTTTTTGTTTAAATGCTTCATCTGTCCGTGCCTTTTTTTTGGACTTATTTTGAACCTGTATTTCTTTTTGTTTAAATGCTTCATCTGTCCGTGCCTTTTGTTTGGACTTATTTTGAACCTGTATTTCTTTTTGTTTAAATGTTTCATCTGTCCGTGCCTTTTGTTTGGATTTATTTTGTATTTGCATTTCTTTATGCTTGTATTCGAGACATTTTCGAGATTCCTGTTTAGCTATTTTCTCTTGCTCTAAAATAAGTGGATCTGACCGTGCCTTTTTTTTGGACTTATTTTGAACCTGTATTTCTTTTTGTTTAAATGCTTCATCTGTCCGTGCCTTTTGTTTGGATTTATTTTGTATTTGCATTTCTTTATGCTTGTATTCTGGACATTTTCGAGATTCCTGTTTAGCTATTTTCTCTTGCTCTAAAATAAGTGGATCTGACCTTGCCTTTTTTTTTGACTTATTTTGAACCTGTATTTCTTTTTGTTTAAATGCTTCATCTGACCTTGCCTTTTTTTTAGATTTATTTTGTATCTGAATTTCTTTTTGTTTGAATGCTTCGTCTGACCTTGCTTTTCGCTTTGACTTTAAAGTGAATTCTTTATCTTTTACTTTGAATTGATCACTTTGCCTTCGCTTTTGCATGTACAGTCTCATGTAGGCTTTTCTATCACTTTCTCCTTCTTTATTCTTCTGTTGCTGTTTTTGGTATTGGTGTTTAAAGTACTTCCCAATCAATATTGTATCATTTTTTACTTTTGTCTTAAGCCCAACTGCAGGATAACTATATGTCCTTTCTTTTACTTTATGGTCAATAGACTGTTGCTTAATGTTTTTTTTAACTACTTCACATAATTGTTCATCTCTTGGCATGACAGAAAAGTTAGTGGATTTCTTTTGCTTTTTGTAAGAAACTGTTTGCCAAACATCATCAGCATCAGTTTTGCTGATATCAGTTATTTTCTGCTGATTGTTAATGTACATATTATGGTATTGTGAAGTGCATTGAACTACATTAAAGTTTAAAGGCAATATTTCATATTGGCTCATTATATCAATATTTGCACTTTCATACATAGCATACATAAATGTAACAAGGTTTTCAAGTTTATGAAATGACATTAATACAGACTTTCCATCAACATCTGACAGTCCATATTCTCCATGTGAATGTGAATCAAACAGCCAAAACTCTTCATCTTTAAGAAACACCGCAGAACAAATTGATCCAATCATGACCAATGCATGGTTTGCTCTTTGAAATGTTGCATACAAGGCTTGATGTAAAGTTGGCAAGTCTGTATCTCCGAAATGCTGAATAGTCAATCCTGATACAATGTTTCCTTTTCTTATTTGTACAACTTTGGACAAAACATTCACTTGATCAGGCATTTCATCAAGACTTAACAATCGATGCTTAAATCTACCAAGTTGTTTTAAATTATTAACAACATTCCTGTACAGCTCGTCTCCAATGTTTAAGACCTCATCAATATTTTCTGTTGTTATCAAATCAGAATATTTTGAATATATCAAAGCACATAATGAGTTAATAGTACATTGACTACCTCTAGTTTGAATAGAAAATCTATTATTTGCTTGACTAAAAGAACCAAATACTAACGACAAGCAGCTGAAGGGCATACCAGTGCAATATGACTCATAAGACTTATTCACAAGTTTGCTTTGTTCTTTTTCCATTGCAGAAGATGTATTGCATATTCTTTGATTCAAATTTGAGTTTTGAGATAACATTTGTTCCATTTCGGAATATATAGCATTTGTTTTGTTTGAGTTTTGTTTTGTGTTTGCCGTACTGATGGACGGACTTGCAAGCGCCCTGAAAGCTCGTGCACTGACCAGACTTACATCAGGTGCTTTTTGGGCTCTGAATGCCGTCAAATTGACTGGACCTACATCAGTTGCCCCAGCGACCATGTCTGCCGGCACGATGACCGGACCTATGACAGGTGCTGATGGGGCCCTGTCTGCCGGAATAATGACGGGACTTATGACAGGGACTACATCAGGATCTTCTGCCAACGTCTGCTCCCTCGTTACCAATATTGCCCTCCTGGCCTTTGCCTTCTTCCATGCTTTACTGAGTGGCATGTCTAACTGAAATGATAAATAAGCAAGAGATGAGATACAGCTCTTTGTTACAGATTTTACAACATAAAAACATGTTTAGGTCATGAAATTTTTTGTTTTGCAAAAAGAAAAGTTCAGGCACAAAAACCATATTTTCATGTTAACAGAATGAGTTTACAAAGATATTGTCAACATTTGGCATTTGCTTAAAAATCCCGATTTAAGCTGCTTTAATTCACATTTGCTTACACTGATAAATATGATATCAATAAAATTGGAATTAATTAACAGGATCAATAAAATAGTCTAAAGCTAATTTTATCTTTTTTTCTTTTTAAGAACAAGCAAACTCAGCCTTGAAACTCATTACTACTGTTTTACCCATTAATTTTAGCAAAGACATACCTTTCCTATGCTGGAAAGCTACCACTGGAGCAGTTCTAACAGTTTCCAATGAAACAACGATGTGGCAGAAGCACTTTGTAATTTCAGAAACACTAGAGTGTCACAACCTTATGTTACAAGGTATTAAATGTCACTAGCACTATAAGTGTCACAATGTATCACATATCACAAGCACAATGCACAATCACAAATATGTTGTCTCTGTTATATATCACAATGTTATTTCACAAAAAGTCTTGTCAATAAATATTGTTTATCTATGGTTATCTTTCAAATAGTCTCTTCTATAAATGTTTGTGTCCAATGGGACGATACTATGAAAAATATAATATATTACACCTACCTGGTACAGAAGACACACAAGATACTTATTTTAGATATACAATTTATGTTCTGTTAAACTTTATTTAAATAATATCTATCACAATTGTTCTTTCAATCACCTTCATACATGTTTGTAAAACTCTTTTAATACTAAAATATGTGCAAAAATAATGAATATTTCTTTTATTTTACATTTTCAATTGAATCAAAAAGTAAATGGTGTAACAAAGACAATATAAGCACAAGCATCACTGATCAGCCAGGTGGTTACATTACCCTCTTAACTCACTGATGAATATTTTAGGATCAAATCTGATCAACTAAGCATGAAATGAGTAAATATTATCTTATCATGTAAGAATGATTTTATGATTATTTAAATGAAATTTATAACTATGAAAACTGGTTTTCATCAATGGCACATTTTTGGTGAGGTTGGTCACTTCTTTTCATTTCGTTAATTGGATTATGCACTAATATGTAAGCCATTCAGTATCTCTGTACTGTCCCATCAATATGCAAATATGGAAACAAAAGAGAGCAAATATCATATATATCATTTAGTGAATATCTATCTAGAAATTTACAAGAATAATTTTCATTTACTATTTTTAGCTATGGCAGCCCCTAAAGGGATCAGCATGCCCATTCACGCACTACAGTGCATAATTCACGCACAAAATTCTAGATGCACGCATAAAAATTGTAAGTAGGGGGTACATGCATGCAAAGTGAAATCGTCGGAATGAATGTTTGGGATAGCCTAATTTGCATATCAACTAAATGTTGTTGCCATCTACCCATGGTTAGGAACAGTCTAAACCCGGTCATAATTGCATGTCTGCTTTCAAAGTCATCTCAGTCTGATTCGGAAATATTTTAGTCATGTTTTGATGTCACATGTACTGTCTTAAGAAAAAAGTTTTGGATATTTACCTTTATATTTAACTTCCAAAAAGTAGACACCAACAAAAAGATGTTTCCTGCTTAAAATCTAACCTCTAGCTCATTGGGTTTTTTAAAAGAAGATTTTTTAAGTTTTAACTATACACATATAGTTAAAAACAATGACACCTCTGGGGCGGGGCCAGTTTTAACCCCAGGGCTTTTATTTGAACAAACTTTGTAGACACTTACTAGAAGATGTTTCATTCTTAATATCTAAACTCTAGCTATTTGGGTTTTTTCAAAGAAGATTTTTAAGTTTTTGCCATACACATATAAGGAAAATCAATGACCCCCGGGGCGGGGCCAATTTTGACCCCAGGGCTTTTATTTGAACAAACTTTGTAGACACCCATTAGAACATGTTTCATGCTAAATATCTTAGCTCTAGCTCTTTGCGTTCTTTAAAAGAAGATTTTTTAAGTTTTTACTATATGCATATAGGGAAAATCAATGACCCCCTGGGGCGGGGCCAATTTTGACCCCAGGGCTTTTATTTGAACAAACTTGGTAGACACTCACTAGAAGCTGTTTCATGCTTAATATCAAAACTCTAGCTATTTGGGGTTTTTCAAAGAAGATTTTTTAAGTTTTTGCTATACACATATAAGGAAAATCAATGACCCCCGGGGCGGGGCCAATTTTGACCCCAAATCTTTTATTTGAACAAACTTTGTAGACACCCATTAGAACATGTTTCATGCTAAATATCTTAGCTGTAGCTCTTTGGGTTCTTTGAAAGAAGAATTTTTAAGTTTTTACTATATGCATATAGGGAAAATCAATGACCCCCTGGGGGCGGGGCCAATTTTGACCCCAGGGCTTTTATTTGAACAAACTTGGTAGACACCCATTAGAAGATGTTTCATGCTAAATATCTTAGCTCTAGCTCTATGGGTTCTTTAAAAGAAGATTTTTTAAGTTTTTACTATATGCATATAGGGAAAATCAATGACCCCCTGGGGCGGGGCCAATTTTAACCCCAGGGCTTTTATTTGAACAAACTTGGTAGACACTCACTAGAAGATGTTTCATGCCAAATATCTAAGCTCTAGCTTTTTGGGTTTTTTAAAAGAAGATATTTAAAGTTTTTTCTTTTGGTTGCCATGGCAACCAGAGTTCTGCATGGAATTAAATTCTTTGAACAATTTTTAAAGGTGACCACCAAAGGAACATTCCTGTGAAGTTTGGATGAAATTGGCTTAGTGGTTTATGAGAAGATGTCATTTAAAGTAAAAGTTTACGGACGGACGGACAATGGACGGACGGACGCCGGACGAAAAGCGATCACAAAAGCTCACCCTGTCACTTTGTGACAGGTGAGCTAAAAATGAAAAATGATTTTTTGATGCAACTCTAGTCATGCAAAATTCCATATGTATCAATCTCAAACTGTTAAAGAAAAAAATCTAAACGCAGTCGCTGCGTAAGATGAATTATAGTATACAATGTATGAAAATAAACTTATACAGGAAAATACGTGCAGATAGTCAGTATGATTTAGATTGCAAAGATCAGAAAATACCACAGAGCTTGCAGCCCTTTGATTATTAAATGGCTTTATTCCACTGCTGTGCCTTGATTTAAGTGATAATAAAGGCTTTAAGGATAACTAAACAAACATCCTCATTACTCCACTTTTTATTAAAGAATAATAAATTTGTTATACTATTATCACAGAATAAAAGAATTCAGCAAATAAAAAAACAGCAATGAAAGAAATATACAACAAGGTATAAATTTGGTTTCTTTGGGAAAACAAGTGGCAAAAAAATAGTCTACAGGAAGAGAAATAATATACACCTAATTCCTTTAAGGGGTACGAAATAAGTTATTTAAACTGAACATTAAAATAATGAACAATATAGACAATGCAAGAATATCAATTCTATTACACTTCACATTATTCAAGTATTACAGAAATGGGCCAGTCAAGTGCATTATTATACATAATATGCACAGCATAAAAAAGGAATGCTTAAACGCCATATGATGTCAGATATGACATCAATAAACCAAAATGACGTCGAGGAAAATAATTCTCCGTTCAATGTAGTTCAACATTATTTTATCAATTCAACTTTTTATAAGCATGATAGAATGTAACAGATATTTAACTTTTCTTTTGTTGTAGTATATGCACAGTTTATCGTTCAAATGCTTTGCATTTAATTACTTGGGCCTACTATATTTCTACACATGTGAACTCTAACCTGCATTATTCTACAACAGCACACTCAAAAATTGATATCTATTTCTTAAACAATACACTCAAAAATTGATACGAATTTCCAAAGTAAAGAACTTGGTGTGAAAATTTTTATAAATTGAATATATAAATTTTACAACAGTTCTTTACAATAAACAATAGTTTCATATGAAGCTCTAAATATTATTTTTCACATTTCATTTGAGTAAATCATGTATAAAAAATTTTCTCATCCATCAGCAAGGTTAAATTCTGTATAATAAAAGGAAAATAAACAAATATCCTAGTAACATGCATCAAAATTTACCATGATTGTACAAATAATATACTGACCTGACATGTTGGGTTTACTATATCACTAAATAACCTGTAACCTACTTAGTTCACTAAGTTCAAAGAACAAACAAAAATTTCTGCGGAATTTATAATCTACAAAATTATCAATTCATACAAATTGCATGCACAGAATAAAGGGGTAAATATAAGTGTAAACTAGAAATGTGTCCATAGGACACGGATGCCCCCACACGCCACTGTTCTGTCAATCTTATGACTCTAGGTCAAATATTTTTTGGACTACATGTGCCACAAGTTGAAAACTAAAAATCAACAAAGGGCCATAATTCTGTTAAATTTGGTCGCAGCAAAAATTCCTTCCTTTACTACCATCTACACATTAAGGTTGTTAATCCCTGGAAGTTTAAGCAAAACCTGCCATCAGGTTTAAGAGGAGTTGCATTCACAAAATTTCAACATAGTATATAATGAAAAAATAAAAAAAGGGCCATAATTCTGTTAAATTTGGTTGCAGCAAAAATTCCTTTCTTTATTACCATCTACACATTAAGGTTGTTCATTCCTGGAAGTTTAAGCAAAATCTGCTATCCGGTTTAAGAGGAGTTGCATTCACAAAATTTCTACATAGTACAATTATAGTGAAAAAATCAACAAAGGGCCATAAATCTGTAAAATTTGGTCGCAGCAAAAATTCCTTCCTTTACTACCATCTACACCTGAAGGTTGTTCATCCCTGTAAGTTTAAGCAAAATCTGCCATCCAGTTTAAGAGGAGTTGCGTTCACAAAATTTCTACATAGTATATAGTGAAAAAATCAACAAAGGGCCATAATTCTGTTAAATTTGGTCGCAGCAAAAATTCCTTCCTTTACTACCATCTACACCTGAAGGTTGTTCATCCCTGTAAGTTTAAGCAAAATCTGCCATCCAGTTTAAGAGGAGTTGCGTTCACAAAATTTCTACTTAGTATCTAGTGAAAAAATCAACAAAGGGCCATAATTCTGTTAAATTTGGTCGCAGCAAAAATTCCTTCCTTTACTACCATCTACACATTAGGGTTGTTCATCCCTGTAAGTTTAAGCAAAATCTGCCATCCGGTTTAAGAGGAGTTGCGTTCACAAGATTTCGGGACGTACGGACGGACGGACTGACGGACGGACTGACGGATTGACGGACGGACGGACAAGTGCAACGCTATATGCTCCCACATTGTGGGGGCATAAAAATTATAGGCCAAACAAATGATAAAAATTTTATGTAATATGCTTGTATATATTCCAATAACATACAAAATAGTTCAACAAAAATATCTGTAACAGAAATGATGGTTCAATGAAGGTATTAGGCATACAAAGTTGTCACAGTTCATTCTTTCACCCTAATAGCATTCCCCACTGTACTACTAGCTAACACAGAGGGCAGTACTGACACTTGTGTAGAACTTCAAGGAAAAGAAAAAACAGAATAACAAACTTAAGTTTAACTTACTGTTTTTATACGGTTTTTTTTTGTTAGGCTACTTGATGTTTTTCTTTTGTAAAATTATCCATTTCATGTTTTAATAAAAACACAATAGTGGTTTTTAAATAACTCAAAGAGTACTGTGATATTTCTGGCGTTTTCTAATTAAAAAAATATTTCATTAAGTTAAATTGAGACTATAATAAATTAATCTGCTGACAATAATTTCATGATTAAAAAAATGTAATAGAGAACTGATTGTATGTAATAAATACTAAACATTGTGAGCAACATACATGACATAAACATGAATTATACATTTAGCATGCATTGTATTTGAGACAGTCCATTGTAGTATTTAAATTTTTCAATATCTAGCATCCAACAATTTAAAAGTATTAAAATCAAAATCCAACAATATAAAGTGTGACATTATGCCCATCAAAGTGCAAATTGTTGAGTACAATGATAAATGTCATAATTACTTTACATTTTGCCATAATTGGGTTCAATTCTATATTTTACTATCCAAAAATAATAGAAATAAAAATCCATTTGACCCACGAAAAAAATCTAATAATAGCATTCAGAATTTATTGGTTATGTTCAATTTTTAAAAAGAGTCGGGTAGCCTTTTTTTTAAAACTTCGGTAGTTTTTATATTTTATTCTTAACATTTTTCACTTCCAATTATTGGTCAATAAGTTACATTATTTATTCAGAATTGATAATGTCACTTTAAAATCCAGCCAGACATGAATCAAGCTGGTATAACTGTACCGGCGACATGTCAGTTGCTATTCATGCTCACATTGTCACTGATTTAAATTAAGCCTCTGTGTGCTGAAATATGGTGTGCTCAAAAACTGGCAACAAAAAATTCAAGTCAAAGAAAATAATCTTATATAAAATCATCACATCATCTGACCCTCGTTCTCAAAAACCTTATATATACTGTCATTATATAAACAGATAATCAACATGCCTAAAATACAATATTTATTAAATTTACACAGATTTATACTTCTATGATCTAGCAACATGTAATCATTCCTTTATTCTAATGTTAAACATGAAATAATCCATTATTGATAATTTAAGTCATAAGTTGAGGTTTGAACAATCTGTCATGGGGGTAATACTATGTGAAGTGATGCTTTTGACGGACATTCTGATCTGAACCACAAACAACATGTGAAATATTTTTATTGAATATTCTACCATATTTCACATTTCTTACCTCAGTGAATTAATTTTTTTTTAAAATTAAATTAATGTCAATTATCTTAAAATTAATTTCAATCATCTTTTAATAAAGTAGCATAAAAATTTACAGCTTCATTTTTATCTATCATAACAGTCAAATGACCATCATAGCCAGAATGTGTTCATTCATAAAATGCACTAACATGACATTAGAGCCTGCAACTCATATGGAATCTCCCATGTCAGATAAATTATCCAGCCTGTGTAAAACTAACAGAAACATCAGTCTGATATACAGGAATGACAGTCTGATCTACAAGAATTATTGTTGTTTGATACCTACTCAAGATTGTGCACTATAAGACTTCCCTAATACATGTATATTGTATTTAAAGGAAAATGAAAAAAGATGTACTGTATATATAGGAGAAATTTACAAGAAAAAGGTAAAAGATATTAGAAGTATCCTAAAATAGTAAAGACACAAACATGCATTACCAGCAAATGTTACTAAACAAAATGAATCACTGAAGAAACCATCCTGCCAGAATCCCCAAAGGCAGAAAGGAACAAAATTGCTGAGCCCTAGTACATACTCTTGGGGAATTTTTTTTTATTTAAATGGTCAGCTTTTAAAAAAGGCATGTTTGAACTTCATCAAGAATGGATAAAAAAAGGTGACTGCTATAACTTGTGAAAATACAACAAATGACAGATAGTTACATGTACCTTGTCAAAAAAGTTCAGCTCACGCTACAACAATATATATTTGCAGTTGGGTGACTTAGGGCCATTATAACACTCTTGCCATGTAAAAAACAACCACAACACATGATCATGACTGAATTTTAAAATGGCAAGCAATCATTTTCTTACCAATACTTATCACTGAATTTTAAGTGACAGTAAATTCATACTGAATAAATTGCTTGTTAATATGTTTAAATGTACTTCCTTCCTTCAAGAATGTTAATTACCTCCCTTTAACATATCTCAGTAAGTTCATGAGTAGCAATAAAAGTAGAACATGTCTGGGTGCACAACTATTTACAGTCAATAGAAATACTTCTGGTTCCATTTCAAGAAAAATTTAAGCATTTAGAAACTGTTAATACTGTTTTACCTATAATCTCTACTGTTTTACCTACAATCTCTACTGTTTTACCTATAATCTCTACTGTTTTACCTACAATCTCTACTGTTTTACCTATAATCTCCCAAAATGTTGAAATGTTGTAAATTAGTAGGTTTACACAGACAACTTTTTGATAATTTGAGGACTTCTGACATGATACTATTTTAGGTAACTAGCAAACAGCTTAATACAGACATCCTGACATCTCTTACACTTAGCTGGTATAATTATTTTTGTTTGGAGTTATACCTCAATTAAAATCAGGGATTTCTATGCTTAGACATTTTGACAAAAAATGCAACATTGTAACTCTACAATTTTTAACAGTGTGTTTATGAAATGAATATTTTCACACATAAAAACATCCATGGAATTGAACACATAAAATCTGAAATGTTTTTTTCAGTCGCAATTAAATATCAGACCACAGGATAACCTTCTTCTGTTTTTCTGAACTGAGGATAACCGATCCTGATGGATGCCAAGAACAAGCCATGATTGCATGCCTGAAAACATAAACATACATTTGTACTTAACATTACCTTGTATACTGTATGTTAATACAAAGGGCCAATACTCTGATGATTCTACATGAATTGTTTAGCTTTGTAAGTTTTTGACAAAGTTTTCATTGTAGTTTCCTTATTTCAATATTTATTAATCATATTCTTAGATGTATTGCAAGATAACAGTATGTTAATATTTTTAGGTTGGATGGAATGATATAAATATCTTTTTGTTTGGGTTTTACGTTGCAGGAACATAAGCATTATTTCAGGAACAAACGGGCACCAGAGTAGAACCACTGGCATTCTGTAAGCTAGCTGGATAGCTTCCTCACATGAATGAATTCAAAGTCCCTGTCGTGATTTGAACCAATAGCATGGAAGGGCAAGTGGTATAATGACATAAATATATGATTACAACGTAAGCATATAGTATATACATGAATATATAAGATAATGCATGTCTTACGTATGTTCTTTTAGCATTCGTTCAACCTTGCCTTTCTGTATGTTCCAAACATATAGAGTACCATCAGAGGATCCTGCCATGGCATAGCTACCATCAGGGCTGTAAAACAACATGGTTTAACATCTAAGACATGCATACAGATAAAGATTCATAGTAGTGTAAAATGAAACCTGAATATTGATATGATAATACCATGATATCACATTGAAGAAGAACCGGTTGATCTGGGTGATGCTCCCCAAAATGGTTTTGGACAGAGAAAAGTATACCTCTTGTATTGTCAGAGTTACGTCACAGACAAAGTTCAATGTGTAAAAATTAACAAAGGGCAATAACTCCAAAATTTGGCAAGGCAGAGTTATGATTCTTTTGCACCGCAATTCTACTCAATGAGATCTATTGCATTTCAAATCAATGAGATCTATCTACCTACAGAATTTCACGTTGATATCTCTTATAGTTTAAGAGTAATGTCCCCGACAAAGTTCAAAGTGTAAAAATGAACAAAAACATTAGTTTTTAAGTTATGCACCTGACAAGGAAAAGTATCAAAGGGCAATAACTCTTTTATTTGTTTTATGAAGTTGTATTGAATTCCAACTAGTAGTAGTTTTCAAGTTATGCTCTGGACAAAAAAAAGCAATTGAAAAGTAACAAAGGGCAATAACTCTGTAATTACTTTAGATAGAGTTATGGTTCTTATGCACTGCATGTCCTCTAATTGTGCTGGACCATTATGAAGTTGTTTTGAATTCCAACCAGTAGTTTTCAAGTTATGCTCCGGGCAAGGAAAAGTAACAAAGGGCAATAACTCTGTAATTAGTCAAGATGGAGTTTTGGTTCTTGTGTACTGCACTTCCTCTCAATGTGCTTAACAATTGTATGAAGTTATATTGAATTCCAACTAGTAGTTTTCAAGTTATGGTCCGGACAAAAGAAAGAAATGGAAAAGTAACAAAGGGCAATAACTCTGTAATTATTTTAGATAGAGTTATGGTTCTTGCGCACTGAACTTTCTCTTTTTGTGCTTGACCATTGTATGAAGTTGTTTTGAATTCCAACTAGTAGTTTTCAAGTTATGCTCCAGACAAGGAAAAGTAACAAAGGGCAATAACTCTGTAATTAGTCAAGATGGAGTTATGGTTCTTGTGCACTGTACTTCCTCTCAATGTGCTTGACCATTGAATGAAGTTATATTGAATTCCAACCATTAGTCTTCAAGTTATGGTCCGGACAAAAGAAAGCAATGGAAAAGTAACAAAGGGCAATAACTCTGTAATAACTTTAGATAGAGTTATGGTTCTTGTGCACTGCACTTTCTCTTATTGTGCTTGACCATTGTATGAAGTTGTTTTGAATTATAACCAGTAGTTTTCAAGTTATGCTCTGGACAAGGAAAAGTAACAAAGGGCAATAACTCTGTAATAAGTGAAGATGGAGTTATGGTTCTTGTGCACTGCACTTCCTCTCAATGTGCTTGATCATTGAATGAAGTTATATTGAATTCCAACCATTAGTCTTCAAGGAAAATGCAACAGACGCTTGGACCGACCGACCGACCAACCAACCGACCACCGAGTGACTCCTATATATCCCCCAAAACTTCGTTTTGGGGGTATAAAAATGAACACAATAGAGATACAAACAATTAAGAGAGATTGAAACAATTACCTAAATACTGCTCGTGAATAGTCAAATGCCACTTTGAAATTTTCAGCTCTGAAATAATGAATGCATATATCTATTGAAAATAAACAAGTTATTTCACCAAGCCATAATTATAAGTTTATACAAAACAGAGTCGCAGGTTATATTTACCTCATTTAGACAAATATTAACAATACCATGCAGATTTAAAATAATAATAACAACATGAGCTGTTATTACTTGTCAGACAAAAATTCAAAGAAAGAAAGGGGAATAACTCCAAAAGATATAGCTCTTAGAATAATGCCCCTTGTCTAACAACTGCACTATTGTCATGATAAGCCAATTTTCAAAATTTCTTGTTGGTAACTTTCAAAATGATTGAATAATGGTCTACATCAAAGTTCATGAATGACAATGACAATGCAGCGATCATAACAGCTTGACTTTGTCTTCAAAATAGACACTTTGTAAAAATGACAACAAATTCAAATTTTGAATAGTTCTCAATTGAAGTCCTTTCAGGAGAACTAAAAAAATAAAGAAATCAATACATCAAAACAGAGTTTTTGACACAATCAAAAAAGGATTTATGGACAATATATGAAATAATTTCATAATTTTAAAATGCAAGGATATCATGTAATTGATTTCTTTATAAAGTATGATTTTACAAAAATCATTGCTAAGAAAGAACCAGTGCAACAAAAATTATAATTAATGTACTGTATATATAACATAATGATGCAGAAATAACTTCCAACTTACACTAATGTATAGGAAACTTGGTTCATACGTAGATCTATCACCTTTAATGTGTCTTCCCTTGTACATGCCAACAATGATGCCTTATCTGTAGTTAAAATATATATCATATATGATTTTTAAATACAATAATAGTACAATGCTTGTAGGTAAAAACAAAGATTATAAAACGTTTGTTCATCTCTTCATAAATATAATTTGTAAAGTTTCTTTGCAATAACATACGTAAATAGCCCTATATAGTGGGCACAAAATTATCTGACATTTGACCTTCAGCCAGGCACACAAATGGCATGGGCCTTACACATCACCTAGTTGATATGGACATTTGAGCCAAGTTTAAAGAAAATCCTTCAAGGAACAAGAGCCCGGTTTGAGCCGGGTGATGCTCCCCGAATAGGTTTTGGACACAGGAAAGTACACCTCTTGTAGTTTCAGAGTTATGTCCCTGGAAAAAGTTCAAAGTGTAATAATTCCAAAATTAGGAAAGGCAGAGTTACTGTTCTTTGCACTGCACTTCTAATCACTGTTATCTATCAACTTACAAAGTTTCTTGTTGATATCTCTTATGGTTTCCGAGTTGTGTTCCGGACAACTTCAAAAAGTAAAAATAAACAAATGGCAATAACTCCAGAATTAGGCAAAGCAGAGTTATGATTCTCGTGCACTGCACATCTACCCATTGAGATACATCTACCTACAAAGTTTCATGTTGATATCTCTTACAGTTTTATAGCTATGTCCAGTACAAGATTTTTCTAAAAGGGGAGATAATTCAAAAATGAGGCTTAACAGAGTTATGTTTTTTGCACTGCACTTCTACTCAATGAAATCTATCTACCTACAATGTTTCATCTTGATATCTCTTATAGTTTTAGAGTTATGTTCCGGACAAAGTTCAGTGTTAAAATTAACAAAGGGCAAGAACCCTAAAATTAGGACAAAAAGAGTTATTGTTCTTATGCACTGCACTTCTACTCAATGAAATCTATCTACCTACAATGTTTCATCTTGATATCTCTTATAGTTTTAGAGTTATGCCCCGGACAAGATTTTTCTATAAGGGGAGATAATTCAAAAATGAGGCTTAACAGAGTTATGGTTCTTTTGCACTGCACTTCTACTCAATGAGATCTATCTACCTACAATGTTTCATCTTGATATCTCTTATAGTTTTAGAGTTATGTTCCGGACAAAGTTCAAAGTATTGAAATTAACAAAAGGCAATAACTCAAAAAGTAGGACAAAAAGAGTTATTGTTCTTATGCACTGCACATCTACCCACTGAGATCTATTCACCTACAAAGTTTCATGTTTATATCTCTTATAGTTTTAGAGTTATGCCCCGGACAAAATTTTTCTATAAGGGGAGATAATTCAAAAACCGGGCAAAATAGAGTTATGGTTCTTTGACACTGCACTCCCCCTCAATGCCCTCTACCACTGTATGAAGTTTAAACAAATTATCTCCAAGGGTTTTCAAGTTATGCTCCGGACAAGAAAACGGACGGACAGACGGACGGAACCTTACCCTTGAACAGACCGGGTGTCAGCATGGGTTCTGGCCATTGACTTGTTGAGGTGAAAATTTGAGTCAAGATTAAAAGAATTCTTTAAAAAGTATAGTCCTTACTGATTAAAAACTTGCCCGACATTTGATAAGCCAGGTTAACCTTTACCTTGAGCCAGCACAGAGACAACATAGGTTCTTACTGCCTAGTTGAGGCGAGCATTTGACCCAAGTCTGAAGAAAATCTTTAATAGCCAAAAATGTGAAAACAATGAAGATAGACAGACTGAGCAATGCAACAAAGTGATTTTTCCTGTATAGCCCCATCCCCCACATCATATAATGGGGTTAAAATAGTAAGGATTTATACTGGAAGATCATATGGTACCAACACTTGAACATCATTTGATACATTTCATCAAATGTGAAATAAATAACATTGTTTACCTGGTGATAAAGCTAATGATGTAATACGTCCATGTAATGAAATCTCATTGATGGTGGAGTCTACACGAGGGTCCCAAAACCTTACACGCTTATCAAAATGGCCGCTGATTATGCTACTTGCATGTAATGTCACTAAATCATTGCAACTTGATCCAGCAAATATTGTTTTTGAACCTACAAAATTAAAATATTGTTAAAAGAAATCTACCTTCCATATGATTTACCTATTTCCTTCATTTTTGTAATGTTCTACTTTTTGTTGGGTTTTAAGTGGACAATGTCTAAGGCGACTTTTCATCTTCAATGGTGGAGAAAAAGACAGATGGTGCCTCTGTGTGCATTTACTTTTCCTGACATAGGCCATCATTTTCTTCAGTAATTTTCAGTAATTTTTGCTCATTTTAAATCATTTAGTGAAAAAAGCTATAAATGTTGTCACGGCTCAACCAGTATGAAGATTCTCTGTCACAGAACAAATTGGATATTACACAATACCGTTATTTAAGAAATAATATATCCCAAACAGTGATTTTATCGCTCAAAAACATCTATGTTTTTAGAAAAAATGCGACAAATTATATCATGAGGGCGTAGCCCGAGTGATATGATGCACATCCGAACGACAAACAGTGATGTTATCAAGATAAATTCATCGATTTGGATTATTTCGGTTCTAACACGACATCAACAAATAAATGCTGCTGTATCTGATATTAAGCAAAATTGCACCTGATCTGTTTCCATACTTATTTTCAGGGCGTCAGATTTTTTTAGTGGTTACGTCACATGTATAATGATTACGTCACATATCTAAATATATAACCTCAACTTTGACTTTATTGCATAATGAAACACACTTTCGTTTCTTCTATATTCAATAGTGAAAAATGCGGGTCATGTTAGAATATATGATATAACCTCTAAAAGAGTTCTACAATTTTTTTCTGGTGTGAGTGTTGTTCTTTGTGATGGCTGAAAGTATCACTTGATAGATTATACTGTGTCAATGACTGACAAAACTTCTTCTACAACAAGAGCCACTCTAAAGCTTAAATACATTATTTCTGACACCTGGGTTGAACCACTGATATTTTGCAGACTTGCTTTTTCACATAAAATAATTCAACATCTCTGTTAGTATTCCAACAGAGATAGGTGACTGTATGATAATAAAATAAAGCTTACATGCTCTAGTATGTAGGTCCCAGATTTTTAAAGTTCTGTCATGGCTTCCAGTTACCACTTTTGATGAATCACCTAAAAATTTGGCAGTTAAAACTTTCCCACTGTGACCCGTCAACGTATGCTGAAAAAAACACGCCATGTATGAAGTAATATACATGTATAAGTTACAACAACAAAAAAAAATAAAACTAGAAATGTGTCCATAGGACACGGATGCCCCCACACGCCACTGTTCTGTCAATCTTATGACTCTAGGTCAAATATTTTTTGGACTACATGTGCCACAAGTTGAAAACTAAAAATCAACAAAATGCCATAATTCTGTTAAATTTGGTTGCAGCAAAAATTCCTTCCCTTTACAACCATCTACACATTGAGGTTTTTCATCCCTGGAAGTTTAAGCAAAATCTGCCATCCGGTTTAAGAGGAGTTGCGTTCACAAAATTTCTACATAGTATATAGCAAAAAAATCAACAAAGGGCCATAATTCTGTTAAATTTGGTCGCAGCAAAAATTCATCCCTTTACTACCATCTACACATTAAGGTTGTTCATCCCTGGAAGTTTAAGCAAAATCTGCCATCCGGTTTAAGAGGAGTTGCGTTCACAAGATTTCGGGATGTACGGACAGACGGACGGACGGACGGACAAGTGCAACGCTATATGCTCCTACTCTGTGGGGGCATAAAAATATATATATAAATAAGAACACAGTTTGTCTCAAGATAACTGCTCAGTATTGTCTGTACTGACTGGTTCTGGAAAGTATAACTCTATATATGAAACATTATAACTTTAGAAACATTTTAATTAATGTATTAGAAAATTTTGTATAATAATATTTTATGTACAAGTAAAATTATTATTTTGTTGTGTTTTGTTTTATAATACATGTTGATAAACTAACTAACTTACTCTTAACCTTTGATCAGATAAAGACCACAATCTACTAGCATAATCGTTTGAAGCACCAAGTATATACGCCTCATCATAGTCAAATTCAAGGGCAGTAATACCCGCATTACTTCCCAGTAATGTCCCTTTACACTGACACTGACCTGAAAAAACACAAACTTTATAGTTAATCTGAAACTCGGAAATTGGGTTTTTTAAGCTTATTTCCCCAACACAAAAATTTAAACCCTTAATTCAGTGCTATGTTTACAATGA